ATCCAGCTCCATGGTATCTAATGCCCTCTTCTGGACTCCATTGGTACACACACACACGGACACACACAGAGAGGAACTCACACAGACACAAGACACACGTGTGTGCCACCATCAGTGCCACAGGGTCCTCAGAGTGCCAGAGGAGTTGTTCCCTATTCAGTTAGCAAGTGAGCACTCTAGGTCTGAGTCTTTGTTTCCTTCTAGCTCAAGTGCTCGAATGACAGCTTCTCCGTGATTGCGGACTACTTTGGCCGAGGGGTTTTCAACAAGTTGACTCTGCTGACTGACCCTCCTACAGCCAGACTAACCCCCAGCCTGGAGGCTGGACTGCAGCGGGACCTGCTGATGCACTCCAGGAGGGGGACTTAAGCCGCTCCTGGGAAAGCCTATAAACCTGGGCCTCTGAAGCACAGACACGGGCCTGAGGGAGATGTGGTAGCTGACATGACCACAGTTCCAGAGCTTCTGGACTCAAGAAGGGGATCTGCTTTTCCTGCCTCCACCTTTTGCCAGCCTGCTGTCCCTCCTGCTGACCAGCAATGTAGATTATTCCACACCAGTGAGGAAGGGCACCTCAGCAACCTCTCTGTGGACAATAGCTGCTTTATTCTCTGTTCAAGGGCACCAGGCCGTGCTTGGGCCCTTGCTCCCAGAGCCTATAAAGAAAAGAGTATAATAACAACATAAGGATTGAAAAATACTCTGGAGACTTTGCAGGTGTTTTCTCTTTTGGTTTTGAGACAGGATCTTACTTTGTAGGCCTGGCTGGCTTATAACTCATTATGTAGACCAGGCTGTCCTCAAACTCACAAAGATCTTCCTGCTTCTGTTTACTGAGTCTGGGATTAAAGGCATGTGTCATCACACCTAGCCCTCAGGTGGCTAGTATCTAAGAGCCTCCTGAGTTCTAGTTCCCTGCCTGTGGTCTCCTGTCTGGTTGTTTCCATAACACTTGAGTAGTGGGTGGGACCTGTCACATCTGGGAAAGCTAAGCTCACTGAAGAACTTCATGGTGTTGGCGCATAGGGCAAGTACATTACTAAGCTGTATACTAACTGCCTTCTGGAGAACCTCCTCAAAAGGCCCACTAAAGTTTGATATGGTGGCATACACTGGTAAACAAGAATCTGAGGAGGATCACAAATTAGGAGCAGCCTTCACTACAGAGCAAGTTCAGGCCAGGCTGGGCTATGGGTCTGGCTACTTAGTTAAGACCTTACCTCAATGCCGGGCAGTGGTGGCACACGCCTTTAATCCCAGCACTTGGGAGGCAGAGGCAGGCGGATTTCTGAGTTCGAGGCCAGCCTGGTCTACAGAGTGAGTTCCAGGACAGCCAGGGCTACACAGAGAAACCCTGTCTCGAAAAACAAAAACAAAAAAAAGAAAAAAGACCTTCCCTCAAAACAAAACTGTGACTGAACTGCAAGTGCACCCTGGATTGAGACATGTAAAACAGCTCTTTGCTCGGTGAAGCGGATATGGAACGACCCTTCTCCCATGCCTGTGACCCCCCCCCCCCATTTCTGAGACAGAGACAGGAGAGTCAGAGGCTTAAAGTCGGCCTCAATACATAGTTCTCCCTGGGCTGCTGAGTGCCTGTGAACTGACTCTGTTTCCAGCCTTATGGAGTTTCATCCCTTAGAACTACACGGTGAAAGGGTGTAGCCGCCTGTGGCCACAAGTCGAAAGGGTTCACCTGGAAAGAGGGCTGGGAACGAAAGGGAGACAGCGAAAAAAGATGAAGCCAAGACAAAGTTCTCTGTTCAAGGCTCGATGGTTTAATGTTAAGCTTTCAATTTAAAGGGGAAGACCCTGCCCGAACCCTTCTTAGTTTCAGCAAGGCTAGATGGGTGGGATAATCCATTCTTGGTCACAAGTCATGGCCAGAGATGTCTCGAGGCAAGCCCAGGGGCAGTTCTTTCAAGTTCCTGTAGCAGGATCTACATGCAGCCAAATTGGGTGACTCCACCTAGGTGTCTTGATATGCAGCCAAGGTGGTTCCACCTAGGTCCTATTATCTGGTCTTTTGTGGTAAACAAGGTCTTGGGCCTGCTTAAGGCCGGAGGAAGGGCACAAAAGGGCTCCCTCAAGTTGGCTTCTTACCTACATACACACAGAGGCACATACACTCGTAATAATAATGTGCTTTAAAACACTCAAACAGAAGGCAGATAGCCTTGGACCTAGTCAGGATAGGTTGGTATCTTGCTGTATTCAGTGTCAGATAAGCAGGAGAAAAGATCTTTTGTTTAAACATTTTCCCCCTTTTGAAGTTGTTAGGTTAGAGGTTATAGTACTATGCTTATGTTATATGGGGCCCTGTCAGTAAATTGCTCCTATGAGATTATTTAAAGAAAGTAAGCGGGGCAGTGGTGGCGCACGCCTTTAATCCCAGCACTTGGGAGGCAGAGACAGGTGGATTTCTGAGTTCAAGGCCAGCCTGGTCTACAGAGTGAGTTCCAGGACAGCCAGGGCTATACAGAGAAACCCTGTCTCGAAAAACCAAAAAAAAAAAAAAAAAAAAAAGTAACACGAGCCAGGCATGGTGGTGCATTCAGCCCTGAGGAGAGAGGCAGGCATATCTCTGTGAGTTCCAGGCCAGCTGGGGTCACACAGTGAGACCCTGTCACAATAGAAAAAATCATGGGCTCTGACTTAAGCAGCTTTGCTTTCTGGGTTTGGTGGATTCCCTTTGTATTGTTTAGAAAGCCTTTCTATGTAGCCCTGGCTAGCCTTGAACTTGTGACAGTTCTCTTTAGTTTCCTAAGGATTGGGCTTACAGGTGGCCACTACTTTGGCAGTTACGATAGACTGGATCAGACTGCCTGAGACTGAATCCTAGTTGTATTATTTGATCTTGAGTTACTTTACAGTGTGTATGATGTGGAGGCAGGGTGGGCATGTGATGGTACACACGTGGAGGTCAGAGGTCAGCTTTATGAGTGGATTCTCTCCTACCTTTACCATGGATTAAAACTGGAGTCAGACTCGGGCCACCATGACTGTATAGTTAAGTGCTTTGCCCATTGAGCCATTTTGCAGCTCCAGGGCCATTCTTTTTCATTTTGACACAGGGTTTTTTTTTTGTTGTCTAGGCCAGTCTTGAACTTAGCCTCCCTAGTAGCTGGGATCATATGTGTACACCACTCCTTCCAACAACTTAGGACAACAATTCCTACTTTCTCAGAACCTCAGTTTTTTCCATCTGGACATTACTTTGAACAGCACTTTTCAGTTATGAAACAAAATCTGTACAATGCTTGATTCATTGCTATTAATCAAAGTAGTGGAAAGAACGGGGTGTGTGTTTCTTGGCACTAACCCAAGACTTTGGGCATATGAATGCCAGTCCAGCGTGTGTGTGCTCGTGCGTGCGCTAGGGTTCTTTTTGTTTGCTTTTGAGACAGGGTCTTGCTACCCAGCATAGTACAGAATTCAGAATCCTTTTGCCTCAGCCTCCCCACACATCTGACAAAACACTTGAGGCACAGTGGTACAGTGTATGCCTAGGCCATGTGAGGCCTGAGTCTCACCATCACAGTGCTGGCACTCCCACTTGTCTCCAGGATTGCACACCCCACACACTCACTCATCTCCAGGGTTGCACACCCCACATACTCATCTCCAGGATTGCACAACCCACACACTCACTCATCTCCAGGGTTACACACCCCACACACTCATCTCCAGGATTGCACAACCCACACACTCATCTCTGGGGTTGCACACCCCACACACTCACTCATCTCTGGGGTTGCACACCCCACACACTCACTCATCTCCAGGGTTGCATACCCCACACTCCTTTTTTGAAGCAGTGTCTCACTATGTAGACCAGTCTGGCCACAAATTTGCAGAGATTTGCCTTTGCATCCAGAGTGCTGAGAATAAAGGTGTGTACCATCTGGCTAGCTGGATTTTTCTGGGGTAGGAGAGGGAAATAGGGTCTCTTGTAGCCCAGAGTAGCTTCAGATTTACTGTGTGGCTCAAGCTGACCTTGAGATCCTCCGGCTCCTAAGGGCTGGGAGTAAAGGAGCACCATCATGACTGGCTTTTCACATTTTTGGGGTAAGTTATATTTTTATGTTATGCATGTGCACCTCATGCATGCCTGGTGCTCAGGGAGACTAGGAGAGGGTGTCAGAACCTCTAGGGCTGCACTTACAGGTAGCTGTGAAGTCCATAGTGGGCTGGGAACCAAACCCAGCAGCAAATGCTCTTAACCACTGAGCCACCTCTCCAGACCCTGACATGACCTTTAATCTCTGTGGAAATTCAAGCATGGCGGTATATGTTCTATTCCTAGCACTTGGGAGGCAGAGTTTAAGGTCATTGTGGGCTACATAGAAAGTTCGAGTCTGGGCTACATGAGATACTGTCTCAAACAAACAAACAAACAAACAAGAAATACTATGAGAGGGTAAGACTTCAAGGCCAGCCTGGGCTCATAACAGCACAAACCTTGCCTTGTTAAAACAAAACAACAGAAAACAATTGTTACACTAATTGCTTATGTCAGCACTGGAGAGGTGAAACTGTAAAATTCTGAGGAGTCTTCTGGAGACCTATCTGGACGACGAGAGCACCCTAGCAGGCATGGTAACTTGTTCCAATGCTCTAGGACATAATGGAGGGCCAGGGTTGACTCTGTCAGGTTACCCTAGGACCTCCGTATGCACCGACACGACACACTGAATAAAAGCAATATAAAATAGCCAGGGTGGGGTGGGGCACGCCTTCAAATCCCAGCGGTCGGGAGGCAGAGGCAGGCTGATCTATGTAAATTCGAGGCCAGCCTGGTCTACAGAGCTAGTTCTAAAACAGCCAAGGCTACACAGATCCTGTCTTTAAACACTAAGAAAAAAAAGTAAGAGTAAATATTAACTGAAGAGAAAAATCAAAGTCTTTTGAGTTGTTCTACGCAGTGGACTCGCGAAGAGGCTGGCTATGTCGCAATGCTAATTCCCGCCCAGCAATGCTAATTCCCGCCCAGCGGAAGGTGCCGCCCCTTCGAGGGAGGGCAGCGGACGTGACGCAGAGCTCGGCAGGTCCTGCAGCCCGGCTGAAGTGCGGGCTCGGGCCCCATGTGCCTTCAGTCCCGGCCGGCCCAGGTCGCCGGCTTCTACAGACTCCAGGGGACCGCAGCGGCAGCGCCGCGCCTGCGCCCTGAGCGGAGTCATGTCCGGTAACGGCGGCGCGGCCACAACCGCGGTGAGTCCTGAGCCGGCGACCGATGACCCGCACTTCTCGGGGCTTTCTGGGTGCGACGATTGGCCCCGGGTTGCCATGCTCGGTCGTCGATTGGTCGGAATAGTTAGCTGTCATTTCACCCCCCCCCCAGGTTTTTTAAAGGGCCAGGAACTAACTAAATTGTCCTATGCAGGGAAGGATCCTGAGCAGTGGGGGCGGGGTTGAGAGTGGAACGATGGTCCACCTTGGGAGTCCATCCCTGTGGGCTTCTGGCTGGATTTCCGTGGTTCTCGGCCAGTAAAGGTATATACACAGATAAGATCCTTTCACGAAGTAGGGCCTGAGGCAAATCCAGCTATCTCAGAATATGATCCACTTCATTCAGGGGAGAGCACACCCCACTTCTAAAAACTGTATACAAACATCTTGGAGGTGTACACGCCTTCTCCCGGTCTCCGTTATGGAAGTCACCCAGCCCTAGCCACCCACAAAAGTCCTAGCTGAGACACACCTGAATTACTCTTGTGAATGGAGAACCACCCCCTGGGCCTTGTCATTTCTGGCCTGCCTGGAAAGTTCTGGACTTGTGGGCAGGCTGCCTGAGATAAGGTAGAGCTGGGAGGCCTGCTTATCTCCTGCCCAGGCGGTAAGCAGCAGTCTTTGTTAGTGAAGACATTTCAGAGCACAGGGTTAGGGTAGAAAGGTCTGGATTCCAGCACCCACTTTCTGCCTGGTCAAAGCTGTGAGATGTTTAGACAGTAAATTGACTGCTCTGCATCTTTGCTTCCGGGACGCTGGTGGAAGTACCTACCCTGTCTAACCTAGTAGGGTTGGCGTTGCAAGGGCGGTATACAGACATGGCTCAAATGCTTTATTGGGTCAATTATTAAAAAAAAATGTTTGAACTTATCAATTCCTTTCTATGGGCTCTGTGTTGTCTGGAATTTCTGTGTTATTCCAAGCCTAGCTAAATTGCAAAGGCTGTCTCAGAGTCATTTGTTGGAGGAATTATCACAGTGGAATAGACTGGAGTCCAAGAACAAGTTTTCACCTCCTCCAGTGACCAAGAACCTGAGTGTCTGGCTACAGAAGAATCAGTGAGATGAGGAACCCAGTGCAGGGAAGGGGGACAGTGTGTACAGTGACTCTGGTCACCTTTGTGTCAGACTGCAGAACCCAGTTCTACCTGCTTGCCACTAGACACTTTTATCCACGGCGCCTTAACAAAAGGGAGAGGTGTGCCCTTTGGAGCTCTTGACTCTGGCTCGGACACCAGAGGAATTATGTAGACCGTGAATATCAGGCAGTTTATCCTTGTAGTCTTCTGGGACATCGTGAGGGACATCGTGAGGCATTAGGTGGCCTTTAATTAAACAAGCCCTTGATGGGATGATGTTCTCAAAGTCACCCAGCCAAGAGGATGAACAGTGAACGGGACTATACATTAGACTAGTTGATTTGGGGCCTTGTAGGGGTACATCCTGGTTGGACTATGCAACACTCAGTGTCTCACCCAGGGGTGTTTTTATACTGACCACACCAGGGTAGTTAGAGATAGTGTGGCCAGAATCAGAGAGAGATTAGAATGATGAAAGAAAGAAACAGTGAGAACAAGAAAAACTGGTTCTCTACCTCTTCTTGGCTTACCACCATTCTCCCTTCCATCCTGGGTCCAGTGGTCAGTCCTCTTCTCCTTTTGACTTTCGGCGCTTGGGCCTTTAACAGACTCACTAGCTCTGTAAAACAACAAATTGACTCCCTGGCATCTAAGCCCCTACAAGTACAGTATCATAGACTTGGATATGGCTGATAGAGGCTTGGCTGAGCTTTGCGATGATGTAACTCCTTTAGGAGCTGCAGAGAACTCAGATCTATGCACGTTGGTTTGTCATGGTGGGAACACAACGTGGGTACCTGCAAGGGGTGCGTGACGAGGTACTGCGGGGGAGGACCAAATTGTCTGCTTCAGAGTCCCCCGAAAAGCAAACCTGGTTGCATAGAGGTTGGTGTTGGATTTCTTGTGTCTCAAAGCAGCCAGCTAGGACCCTCAAAACCTAAGTGGCCCACAAGACAAATAACCCTCTCCTCCCCAAAAAGACACCATTACAGATGATACTGGAAGGATCAGGTCAATGCTTTCCCCCTCTGGTCAATGCCCACTCATCTGCCGATGAGATTTCTTAATGTTTGCATTCACCTGCCAGCCTCATTTAAAATCGTTAAAAGGGAGCAGATGCTGGGAGCCAAACCCAGGAAACTACCTGCTGTCCTAAGAGAACCTAGAAAGTTACCTGCTGTTCTAGAAAGCCTAGTCAGTACAAGGTTAAGAAAGGACGTCTACGGGTCTCAGGCCACAGGAACTTTTGTTTGTTGTTTTTTGAGACAGGGTTTCTCTGTGTAGCCCTGGCTGTCCTGGAACTCATCTGTAGACCGGGCCGGCCTTGAACTCAGAAATCCACCTGCCTCTGCCTCCCAAGTGCTGGGATTAAAGGCGTGCACCACCACCGCCTGGCAGGCCACAGGAACTTAAAGAACATCTGGCATTTCCTGGGAGCGGTTACGACAGTGGGATGGTCTAGGACAATAAAGATATGACAGTGGGATGGTCTAGGACAGTAAGCATATGACAGTGGGATAGCCCTAAGCAATGATCCTCACCCAAACTTCCTGGTTTGCTGTGTCTTTACAACCTGCCCCCAAAATTAAAGTTTCAGAGCTTGATCAGAACCCCAGACTTGCTCTCCATTCTTGTGTCTCTTGTCCCTTCATTCTTTTGCCCCCTTCCCTAGGGTCTCATCGAATCCCCGAGGGCCTGGGCAGTTTGTGAGGCTTTTTCAAGTACCCGAGTTGTGGACAGTGAGCCTGTCCTCTAGCGATGGGAGGTGTCAGCTGGCCTGCCCCCGGCCTCTGTAGGCCCCACCCTCTGGCAGGGCCCACCCTCAGTGTGCTTAGGCTGATGGCCTTATCATTTTGCCCACCTGGCTGTGTGCAGCCCTCCCCCTCAGAACCTCCTTGGCTGGGCTGGGCTTTGGAGCTCAGTGTTCAAGTGCTGCTGCCACATCAGATCCTAGAACAGCTTTTCCTCTGCGCTCTGCTTCTCTGGATCCCGTAGGAGGGCAGAAGGTACCAAGGAAGGACCGGTCCTGGGAGTCTTTTCCCTGCCTGTAGGCTCACCTGGCTAGGGCCCGGGAGTCCTTTCTCCTGAGCCTGTGATCCTGGTTCTTGGATAAGGTGTTGTGGGAAAAGATTGTAACCTAGGGACTTCCTTCTGCAGGAAGAAAACGACTCAACCATGAGGGTGATTCGAGTGGGCACCCGGAAGAGCCAGGTGAGTACAGACATAGCGCGTTGCCTCCAGGGTTCTAATACTCACAAGGTCAACCAGAGTTCCTAGCATGGAGCAAGAGTGTGTGGGAGTTGATTTTACAGGGAATGACAGCTTACTTCCTCTGAAAAGAGAGTCCCTGGAGCAAGGAAATGATGGGGGTACAGAGAAAGGACCCCCCAGGCCAGGCCCTTGTCATCTCCAGTGAGAAGTCTAACTCCTTTCATATCTTTCTTGATCCGTATGAGGGTTTGAGCCTGGGGCAGTGGACAGGGAAGGTCAGAAACCATTCGAATCTCTTTCCCCAGCTGGCTCGCATACAGACAGACACTGTGGTGGCCATGCTGAAAACCCTGTACCCTGGCATACAGTTTGAAATCGGTAAGTTTTCTTGAGAGGAGTGAATGGTACCGAGTGGGAAGCCAGGGAATGGGAGGATACAGCGTTTCTGGCTCTGCCTGTAAGACTCTGTCCTGACTGCTTGTGGGTGGAACCAGGGAATGGGAAGACACATTGTTTCTGGCTCTGCCTATGGTCAAAGCCTGCCTTTAAGACTCTGTCCTGACTGCTTGCGGGTGGAACCAGGGAATGGGAAGACACAGCGTTTCGGGCTCTGCCTATGGTCAAAGCCTGCCTTTATTTTAAGACTCTGTCCTGACTGCTTGTGGGTGGAAGGATCGTCTCCTGTGCGCATCTCCTTCAACTGTGTCCTGGCTAGCCTGATCTCCTCCAACTGTCCGAGCTAGTTTAATATTTTCTGCTTTGGATCCTTTTAGGAGTATGTCTGCTTTTTCTGTCAGTGTGTGTATCTGAGAAGGTTAGGAGCTGGGGCTTATGTACCTGTGACTCCACTGTGAATCTCGTAAAGTGCTCAACCAGGGGTGACTCGGTAGGAGTTAATTAATGGGTATCATCTGATTGACTCTTTCCTCAGTTGCTATGTCCACCACAGGAGACAAGATTCTTGATACTGCACTCTCTAAGGTAAAGGCAGTCCTTATCCCTGTTCTTGTCCCTCTCCCCACTTATTCTCATAAGGGGTTCTCTCTGAGGCTCTTTCTTCTCTGGCAGATTGGAGAGAAGAGCCTGTTTACCAAGGAGCTAGAGAATGCCCTGGAAAAAAATGAGTGCGTGACGGTGGAGGAATGTGGTAACCCCTCCCCCCCCGCCCCAGTCTAGAACCCCAAAATTGCTCCCCAGTATTAGCAGGACTGTTGGGTTAGACCAGGGAAGTTCCTAGGCTTTCACAAAGGAGAGTGTCTTGCTTTGGAGTCACTTCCCTGCCTGAGGTGTCAGATTGGCAGGGGTAGGGTAGTTGAGAAGAGACCAGGTCTTTGATCTTAAGATAGCCTCTTTCTGAACAACTGTCATGGATGCTGAAGTGGGTGGAGAAGGGTAAGGTCACCTACTCAAAGCCTCTCTCCGTGTCCTCCCCATCATCTCTAGAGTGGACCTGGTTGTTCACTCCCTGAAGGATGTGCCTACCGTACTACCTCCTGGCTTTACCATTGGAGCCATCTGCAAGTAAGAGTCGAGTGCACGCAGTGAGGACCCTGGGCGGGGATTAATCCTCCTGTGGGAGGCTTTGATTCTTTTCCTTTTCATTTGGAACCTGACCACTTAGCTCTCTGCTTGGAAGGTTGTCAGTCAGTAAGTATGGAAGAGAAGCCAGTTGGTTGGCTATTTGGAATCCGTGGAGTTGGATTCAGTGGCACTCACGGGCCTGTAATCCCAACTACTAGGGAGGCTAAAGACAGGATCAGAGATTCAGGCCCTGCCTGAGCTACAGAGAGATTTGAGCCAGCCTAAGGAACCTAGTGAGATTGTGCCTCAAGGTGTGGGGCGTAAGAAGGCTGGCTTACAATGGCTTAGGTGGTAAAGGTGTCAAACCAATGACCTGAGTTCAGTCCCTGGGGTTCACTTGTTATCCCACAAGTTGTCATCTGACTTATACTATAGAAGGCATATGCTCCCATCCCATCAGTAAAACTGTAAACAATCAAGAAAATGAGACATGTCAGGTGGTGGTGATGCGCGCCTTTAGTCCCAGCACTTGGGAGGCAGAGGCAGGTGGATTTCTGAGTTTGAGGCCAGCCTGCTCTACAGAGTGAGTTCCAGGACAGCCAGAGCCACACAGAGAAACCCTGTCTCAAAAAAAAAAAAAAAAAAAAAAAAAAGACACAAAACCATTTCAAAGAAAATAAAGTGAGTTTGGCCTGGTGGCTATACCTATAATCTCAGCATTCAAGAGGCTAAGGCAGGAGGATTATTGTGAGTTAGAGGCTAGCCTGGGGTACAGAGAAAAATTTTAGGTCAGCCTGGGCTAGAGTTAAGCCCTGTCTCCAATAATACCTTTATTTCATCCTTTGCTCTCCAGACGGGAAAACCCTTGTGATGCTGTTGTCTTTCACCCAAAGTTTATTGGAAAGACCCTGGAAACCTTGCCAGAGAAAAGGTGAGTGGGTTGGGTGTACAGGGGACAGAGGGTTGGACCGTGGAGAACAGTAGGCAGCCTGTGTTAAATTGAATTTTAATCTCTCTGAGCAGTGCCGTGGGCACCAGCTCCCTGAGGAGAGTGGCTCAGCTACAGAGAAAGTTCCCCCACTTGGAATTCAAGAGTATCGTATCCTTTCAGAAGAGGGAAGGACAGTGGCCAAAGAGGGAAAGACGTTCTGGAGGACTCTGAGAATCCTGAAAATAGAAGGACTTCCTGAAGCAAGTGGGCAGTGGGTCTTCTTTCCATCCACCCATCCATCCATGCACACATCCATCCACTCATCCATCCATCCACCCACCCATCCACCCATCCATCCACCCATCCACCCATCATCCATCCATCCACAGGCCTTTCATGTTTTCTTAAACTCAGGCAGATGCCTGGCAATGAGGATAGTTGCAGAACAAACATGGTTCCTGCTTATATAGAGTTGACATGTTAGACGGTCAGACAGGCCAGGGCAATGCCACTAATACTGACCAGTATCACTTTTGGGTGGCAGGGATGGAAGGTGCTTCTGGTTTTATTTTATATGCTACTAAATGGTTTTGATTTTTACAGTGAACATGTGATATGTTTCTAAATATTCTTTTTTGTTTGTTTTTGTTTTTCGAGACAGGGTTTCTCTGTATAGCCCTGGCTGTCCTGGAACTCACTTTGTAGACCAGGCTAGCCTCAAACTCTCGAACTCAGAAATCCGCCTGCCTCTGCCTCCCAAGTGTTGGGATTAAAGGCGTGCACCACCACCACCCGACTAAAAAAAGTCTTTAAAAAAAATTTTTTTTTTTTTAATTTGTATGGTTTTTCTAGACAAGATGTCTCTGGATAGCCCTGCCTGTCCTAGAACTCTTCTGTAGACCAGATTTGGTCTTGAATTCATGGAGATCTGCTTCTGCCTCCAGTGCTGGGATTTAAAGGTGTGTGCACCACCACTCAGCAAAACAAAAGTTTTTTTTAAAGGGGGGGGGGAAAGAGACTGTGGGGCACTATGTAGGTCTTGACTTCTCCTTAGCAACTCTCCACAGCGGGGAAACCTCAACACCCGCCTACGGAAGCTGGACGAGCTGCAGGAGTTTAGTGCCATTATCCTGGCTGTGGCTGGCCTGCAGCGCATGGGCTGGCAGAACCGGGTGGGCCAGGTAGGAGCTGCCCTATTCCACTTCCCATTTTAAACTGCCTCTCTCCTGCCTTTGGTATCTTCTTGACCATTCTGCCAAGAGCACTACAAGCCAGAAGCCCAGGCTAGGGATATTGCTTGTGCCTTCCCTGGGCTTCCCAGATTGGCAAACCCTAGCTCACTGCCTTTGAACACACCTCTCCCACCATTTTGTCTGTCTGTCTCCACAGATCTTGCACCCAGAGGAATGCATGTACGCGGTGGGTCAGGTAAAATTGCCTGGAGAGGAGGGCTTTGTTAAAATGCCCCTTCAAGAACTTTTGGTACTGCTCTGCTACGTATCAAATAAGATGTTTAGGGAGGGGCAGGCTTCGGCATGCAGAAGACCCTGGGAAACAGGAGAGGAGGGCCATTTCCCATGTTTATTAGCTCCATTCCTGGAGAAGATCAGGCCTGTTGTTCCTTTAGGGAGCCCTAGCTGTGGAAGTTCGAGCCAAGGACCAGGATATCTTGGACCTAGTGAGTGTGTTGCATGATCCTGAAACTCTGCTTCGCTGTATTGCTGAAAGGGCTTTTCTGAGACACCTGGTAAGATGGGCTCCTGCCATGGTGGTGTGGGGACTTGGGGAACCAAGAAGGACAGCAGGGAGATTTCTCTAGTACTCTGTATGTAATGTTTTATATGTGCGAAGAGGACCTTGGTCTGGTCCCAGCAGCCTTTTCAGTTATATCCTTAAGAGGTTTGTGGTCAAAAGTGGTGTTAAAGGCCCTTAGAGCTCAAAGGAACATATCATTACAGGAAGGTGGCTGTAGCGTGCCAGTAGCAGTGCATACAGTGATGAAGGATGGGCAGGTAAGCTGGGGGAGGGACTGGCATTTCCATGTGCATCCAAACATCTAAGCAGCTTTCTTTAAATATGCTGGTACAAACCTTTTATCTCCTAGCTGTACCTGACTGGTGGAGTCTGGAGTCTAGATGGCTCAGATAGCATGCAAGAGACCATGCAGGCCACCATCCAGGTCCCTGTTCAGGTAGGTATTGACTGGGAGATGGGGGAGGAATACATAGAACTGCTTTGTAATCTTCCTCTCACCAAAATTGTAACCTGTCATCCAGCATGAAGATGGTCCAGAGGATGACCCACAGCTGGTTGGAATTACTGCCCAGAACATTCCAAGAGGAGCCCAGCTAGCTGCTGAAAATCTGGGCATCAGCCTGGCCAGCTTGTTGCTCAACAAAGGAGCCAAGAACATCCTGGATGTTGCACGGCAGCTTAATGATGCGAGCTAACTGGTCTGTCGGGCACAGGAACCCCCGGCTGCCACTCCAGTGCCTGCCTACATCTGGCTTTCAAGTGCCCTGTGCTCCTTAACTAGGGGTGTGATTATCCCAGGAGATTGACCCACAGGGTTGTTGAGACTTCCACTTTGGAAGATATGCCTCACCTTGGGGCCTCCATGACTGCCTTTCCCTCAATAGTTGGGGGCTTCATCTCTTTAGAGAAAAAGTCCATGCCAACCTTTGAATGTAACCAATGGCGCTAATAAACCAGTTCAGAATGTGGTTCTGATGGGAGTTGGGGTAAGATATAAATAAACCCAAAGCCCTTTCTTTAAACCTGATCTCTGAGTCTGGGACCTTTCTGTTTTAAAACATCCTTTCTGTAACTTTGCCTCATGTTCTCAAAATGTATCCCAGGAAACACCAAACAAGCAAAGAGAAACAAGCTTTAAACTCTTACAGCCTGTCTTCAGTTAACAGGACCTTCCTGTATCACACAGCCTTTCCCATCCCCAGTGCCTGCAGAAAGGGGGGGTTACCCTTTAGCCCCACTCCCTCCAAGATGTGCCAAGCACCCTCTTCCTTCTACCACGGAGCTATAGATGTCCAGCCCCGGGGACTACAGCATTTAAAATGAAATCAGACACTCTTATTTTTTTAAAAAAACCAAACGATCCTTTAATAAAATTAGCCCATTGAATCTCCCCACTTAAGGTTCTAAACTTGTAATAGCTGCAAAAGTTCCAGTTCAGAAGCCAACAGAGGCTCAGTCCAGACAGGGATTCACCGACTTGTGCTGGTATCTAGGTGTTCGGGTTAGAGTTGGGTCGCTGGGGAAGAGGGGATGGATGGCTAGGCCCGGCTGCCAGTCTCCTGCGGCAGGTATACAACTGTCCTGTCCCCAGGCCTTGTAAGCGTCTCCCTGACCCTTTCCTGGAGGTATCTTGGAGAAACTGGGTTCACATTACAATGATTTTCGTCCCGGCCACACCACACGCCGGCCTAACGAATGACGACAGGGTCAACTGGTTTGAGGGCAGCAACGGGGGACACGGGAATGAAACAACGTGACCCATTCCTCCTCACCAAAGCCCGGCAGTCCGAGTCACTTCCGAAAGGTCCAGGCGAGGGCTAAGCACCAAGCTGAAGAAAAAGATGCCGGGGGCTGTAGCTGCGGGAGGGACCCATCTTCAAGCCCGCCTCGGCCCGTACGTCATAGCAAGGGGCCGAGAGACTCCGGGAAGGTGCCGCAACCTCTCCGCACGGGCCCGTCGTCCACGACTGAGCACGGCGAGGTCACGAGCTCCGGGATGGGCGGAGGCCGCCATCGGCGCCCGCGTTCTCCGTGGCGGACCCGGAGGCCGTGCGGGGAAGGGGAATTGACAGACGCGCGAGGGCCGAGGGGGGAAGAGGATGGGGGCGCGGCGGGCCGCAGCCCGGAGTGGCTCAGCTCTTTCTGTGAGGGAGGTGGTGGCCCTTAAAAGGGCCTTTGTGGAGGTGTGGGGAGGGCTGGGCGGCCTCAGTACTCCTGCGAGGCCTGGGAGGCCTTCTTGCCACCCGCCGGCGCCTTGGGCCCCACGGTGGCGCTGGTCTTCTTGGGCAGCAGCACGGCCTGGATGTTGGGCAGGACGCCGCCCTGCGCGATCGTCACGCCGCCCAGCAGCTTGTTGAGCTCCTCGTCGTTGCGGATGGCCAGCTGCAGGTGGCGCGGGATGATGCGCGTCTTCTTGTTGTCCCGAGCCGCGTTGCCCGCCAGCTCCAGGATCTCGGCAGTGAGGTACTCGAGCACGGCCGCCAGGTAGACCGGCGCGCCGGCGCCCACGCGCTCGGCGTAGTGGCCTTTGCGCAGCAGCCGGTGCACGCGGCCCACCGGGAACTGCAGGCCGGCGCGGGAAGAGCGCGACTTGGCCTTGGCGCGGGCCTTGCCGCCGGTCTTGCCGCGTCCCGACATCGCGTACGAGGTAGAAAGGGCTCCGAACAGCGACGAGAGAACGCAGACCGCCAACCGCCGCAGTCAACTGTCGCCTCGCGCGGGCAAGTCCGCCCTTATAAACTCACCGGACACGCCCCCGCTTTCGCCTGATTGGTTCTTTTTTTAATACCCACCTCTGGTTGGTTGCAATTAACCCCTCGGTGACGCGCTTCAGCGGAGAGAACGCGCCCAGCGATTGGTCCAATTTGAAAACCTTTTACCCGGGGAAGAAGACAAGGCGGAGTGGCCGCGAGCTGGCGGGTAATCACCCGTGGAAATGGCCAATCCGAATAGAGCGCGCGAAATTTAAATGCTACGGCGCGCCAACAGAACCCGAAAGCTAGAAGGGTGGAGCTTGAGCTACCTCTACAGTCTCTGGGAAATCTGAGCCGGCCGCTATGTCTTTAAAGGAAAAGGATCTACACTAAAGCGCCTTTCTCCTTCCAGGTTAGGGCGCTTCCCACTCCCTCCTCTAATCTGGCAAACGGAGGGTTTTATTTATTTGTTTGTTCATTACTATTTTTGGGTTTTCGAGACAAGGTTTTTGTGTATAGCCCTGGCTGTCCTGGATCTCACTCGGTAGACCAGGCTGGCCTAGAATTCAGAGATCTGCCTGCCTCTGCCTCCCAAGCGCTGGGATTAAAGGCGTGCGCCACCACCATCTGGCTTTTGTTTGTTTGAGACAGGGTTTCTCTGAGTAGCCCTCCTTGGCTGTCCTGGAACTCAGAGATCCGCCTGCCTCTGCCTCCCTAGTGCTAGGATTAAAGGCTTGGCTGAAAAGGGAGGGTTTAAAAGAAGAGAACTGAAACCTTCTGAGAGTTTAATCCTATGCCAGAAAATGGAGCGCTATGATCCTTTGTTATCACAAGTTTGTGTGTAATATTTATTCGATATTTAGTCAATACCCACCAACCAGAGGTGGGTGTTAAAAAAAGAACCAATCAGGTGAAAGCAGGGGCGTGTCTGGTCTTAGTTTGTGACAGACCTTTTTTTCAACAAAGGGTCTGATGGAGCAGAGGTAGGCATCCTACTAGAAAAGTATCCACTCTAACCTTTCCAATCTATCCCAAAATGCCTATATAAAAAATTAAATATATCAGGCTTGGGCTAGAGTTCTGTGGTAGAGCATTTAAATATACAGAAGCCCTAGGGTTCAATCCTCAAGCACCTCAAAGGTTAAAAGAACAGAGGAGTGGCTCCAACTAGAGGAACAAGTAAAAGAAACTCCTTTATTGTCACCATTCTGAGCACATGGCCCAGCCTCTGCTCTTCCTAATCAGAACACTTAATTTGATAGTCAAACTTGAGGTTACCTCGGAGTATGTTGCCCTGACTCGCCTTAGCCCAGGCTCTCTCTCAAGGCCCAGTGAATTCCTTTAGAGTTAGCGCTCTGAAAGTAGAGCTACGAATATTTGCATAAAAGATGCTACAAGCCCACCTGGTGAGTCTGCAGATGGGACAGGAAGGGAGGGAGTGGCAAACTGAAGAAAGCCATAGGCAAAGTCCAACTAGTGGACTTCAAGCCCACTAAAGTGTCCATCCAGGATGTCAGTAGTCACACACAGTGGCAGAAGCTGAGAACAAAATTGTCAGCGAGGTCTGAACCAGAAGGCAGTCTTGGACCAGACAGAGGTTGGCCCTGGCCAAGGTCCAATGGAGACCGGGGTAAAGGGCTATCGTCAGGGAGCTCAGACATCATAGAATAGTCGGACGAGCTGGTAACGAATGGAGAAGGTGACAGCACTGCTCAGGACCTAGAAGTGGACTGGAATTAGAACCGAGGCCTGCCAGAGACAAAGCCCATGGCATTCCTAAGCCCACCTCAGCTAATCAGACATAAAACCCATGGCATTCCTAAGCCCACCTCAGCTAACCAGAGACAAAGCCCATGGCATTCCTAAGCCCACCTCAGCTAACCAGAGACATAAAGCCCATGGCATTCCTAAGCCCACCTCAGCTAACCAGAGAATGGCATTCCTAAGCCCACCTCAGCTAATCAGACATAAAGCCCATGGCATTCCTAAGCCCACCTCAGCTAATCAGACATAAAGCCCATGGTATTCCTAAGCCCACCTCAGCTAATCAGACATAAAGCCCATGGTATTCCTAAGCCCACCTCAGCTAATCAGACATAAAGCCCATGGTATTCCTAAGCCCACCTCAGCTGTACCTGCAGGAGCAGCAGGAGCAGTGTGAGGCTTCTCTCATGTGTGGGCCCAAGGACTTTAAGTAGCAAGTTGATGAGGGTCATGTTGTTACACTCAGTGAAGGCACCATCCTCACTCTCACCCCGGTGAACTGTCACTAGCCGGAGGCTCTCTGCTACCTGCAGGGACCAGAGGTGAAGGCGACTTCAGGTGTACACAGATCTACTTCACGAATAGGGATCTTTTTGATGTTCCCCAACTCCTCCCCTTGGGCCTGAGAAGACCTAGGTTTCTCTTTTCCCGAGTTAAGGATGGCGGCCTGGGGCCTTACCTCCTTGATACCTTGTTACCTTTAAAATAAAGGTGCCCAGGAAAGAGAGGCTGTTGGTCTTGAACTTGGAATAGCTCATCTCCAGTTTGCCTGTCTTTGTATTGAGCCTGCAATGGGAAGATGATGTCATTTGACTGAATCAAAGAACTTGGCACCCTGTGGTTGCTAAGAAGAGTACTGAGTACTTAGGTGCTGAAGTTGGTTTCTGGCTCTGATGCTTACATCCGGGTGATCAGGACTGTTGTAAGCATTACACGCTATGTCAGTAAACAAGCTTCGTAAATTACCGTGGTCTACCCACATACAGTTAGCTCTTCTTCCCCCTCACTTCTTTTTACACAGGAAATGCACAGGTTGGGCTTTAGCTATCCCAAGTCAAACACTAGCATGCCCCTTTAAAGCCCCAGCGTGGTTACCTGGGCATACGGTGTCGAGGGCAGGGGATGATGTGAAAGAGCTGAGGCAGTGAGTAGAGGAAATTGAAGACTTGTGGCATAAAGAAGAGTAGCATGGTCTTGCTGAAGTGTCCCAGGATCCCCACCACGGCAAAGGTCATGCCAGCAAAATAACAGAAGGTATCTCCCACAAACACCTGAGACGGGTACCTGTATGGGAGAGAGGACCGGGGCTGAGAGTGAGTTGTTACTCACTGGCTCTTGGCAACAGGCCAGCCTTGAGCCTGAGTTCTTTGGGGTTTTGTTGTTGTTGTTTGTTTGTTTGTTTTTGTTTTTTTTTCGAGACAGGGTTTCTCTGTGTAGCCCTGGCTGTCGTGGAACTCACTCTGGAGACCAGGCTGGCCTCGAACTCAGAAATCTACCTGTCTCTGCCTCCCAAGTGCTGGGATTAAAGTCGTGTGCCGCCACCGCCCGGCGAGCCTGAGTTCTAAAAAAAAGACTGTTCCAGAAACTGTAGGCCCCAAGGCCCCAGATTCATCCACTCCTGGGGCGGCTCAGTGCTTGTTCCCAACGACTGCAGGGCAGACAGTGACTCCACACCACCACCAGGCTGGTGTGCAGCTTCCTGGTAAAGCCGTCACCTAGCATATACAAGGTTATGAATCTATTCCCACGCTCTATGTGTGCAGATGGTAGGGTGAAGGGTTGGTATCTAATAGCACTGTAATTCAAGTCCTGGCTTGACAATACAGTAAGTTCAATACCAGCCTGGGAAACTTAGTGAAACCCTAGCCTCAAAAAAAAAAAAAGTCTGGGGATACAGCTAAATTCTAAAGTGCTAGATTTATCTTTCTCTCTCTCTTTCTCTCTCTTTCTCTCTCTCTCTCTCCCTCTCTCTCTCTCTCTCACACACACACACACACACACACACGCGCACATGAATGCTTGTGCTCACACAAAACAACAGGAGAGGCAAACTACTCCCAATGGAAGACCCAGAGAATACCTAACGAAAGTATGTACAATTTTAGCCTCTTCATTAGAACCTGGGTTATGTCAGGACCGCCTCTGCCACACACACACCAGTCATCTTCTCTCTCATCCACAGGCCTACATACCAGTTGTGGTACAGCAATCCCAAGGTGGTGAAGAAAAAGGGCATCATGAAGTAAAGGGAAAAGACATGGTCGTCCCGGTAATCACCTTGGGAGCAAAGCAAAGAGAAAGAAGTTAGTACCCATATCCACTACGTTCCCAGCCATTAGGAACACCCCACCCAAGTCACTGGTCTCTAACTTCGGATGAAGCCAAGCCCGGCCCGCATCTCCCATGTGCTGGGGTTACAGGTGTTTACCACCATGCCCTGCTCTAACATCAGGTCACCCAGGCAATTCTTCTCAGTACTCTCATCACTTTCATTGAACCTACAAAACAACAACTACAACAAAACACACACACACACACAACTCAACAGGCTAGAAAGATGACTCAGTGATGAAGAGCACTAGCTGCTCTTTCAGAGGTCCTGAATTCGATTGTTCAGTTCTCAGCACCCACGTGGTGGCTCACAACCACCTATAACTGTAGTCTCATGGAATCCGATGAGCTCTTCTGACGTACTAATAGACATACAAGCAGATAAAACAGCCACATACATAAAATCTTTAAAAACAAAACACAAAAACCAACCAAAAAGCTAGACTACTAATATTCAGAAGGCACAGGTAGGAATAGCTCCTGGTTCAAGGCCAGTCTGGGCTACATAGTGAGTCCCAGGATAGCTAGGGGTACACAGAGAAAAAAGAAAAGAAAAAACAAAAAAAACAAAAAAACAAAAAAAAAAACAAGAAAAGCTAATGACTATCTTAAATGTGGTTTAAAAATTCCAGCTGGGATTTGAACACCAGTTTTACTTCCTAGCTGTGTGAATTTGAATTTGACACATTGAATTTCAGTAAGCTTCCGTTTTCTCATCTGTCAAACTGGACGATGCCAGTTATACAACATAATGCTTTCAAGGTGCTTAGCTTTAGCTGGGGGCAGGAGGAGGTACCCATGCCTTTAATCTCAGACCTTGGATCTCTGTGAGTTCCAGGGCAATGTGGG